ATAGTTTTTGTAAACCTTTGTCCTGTACTTTTTAAAGTCTGCAAAATGGTCAAGTATTATGCTTCATGGCTTATAATACCTGTGCTTGAAATTTATTATTAATTTGGAACAACAAATTGAGAATTGTTCAAAATTGTGACTGATGAGCAGCATAAAAACATTGTGTTTATTTTTATATAAATGTTTGCTTTCATCTTCTGAATCTTGTACTTGTCTTCAAAAGAAAAAAAGATGTCATTTATCTTAAGCATAACTTTAAAGGTGATAAATGAAAGAATCTTATAAACCGAAATGGGAGAATATCTATTCCATTCTTTCTATTTTTTTCATTTTAAATCATGTGAGCATAGAAATCAAAACATTCCGATGGGAATAAAATTGATGGAAAAAGACAACCAGAAATGGCTAATATGTTAAAATAAATATTACATTAAATAAAAAGTAAAAATTGACTCAAAATAATAAAATGATTGAATTTTCAAAAAATTAAGGAAAAGCTGTCAGGACTATTCAGTTAGAGATACTTAGATTATGTCCACCATCTAGTGGTCAAATTTTGCATCTCACAATATGAATGTCCCAAAGACTTTCTCACTCCCAGTGAGTTTTACTTTAAATGTATTTTGAAGTTCTGAAATTTGTATAAAGTATCTGAAAATATTTTAATCATATGACCAAATATTTGTTTATAAAAAGAAAAGCATACACACACACACACACACACACATTAACAATAGCATGATATAAAACAAAAATTTGATTTTGTTTCATTCCCATTACCATTTTGCTTTATGGGAGTATTAGGAAAGAAAAAAATGAAAAAGTAAAAAAGAATATTACCTGAGCAAAAATATAACACATTAAATTGTAAAGGCATACAACACATTGGTCCATGCTAGTAAAACTTTAATGAAAATGCTAATAGTTTGATATTAAACAATACTGTTTATCTAACTCCTTAAAGATAACTATGCCTAATGAACAGTAGGTGGATCCAAAATGTGTTTTTTATACATAATATTAAGTAATCTGACTTAAGCTACATAGTGACTTCTCATAATTCATGGACTAAACCTTTATGAAGCTATGGATATTTTTGTTGGAATTGAAATAGCCCTATGCAGATATAGTGGCAAACAAAATTGAATCTGAATTTTCAATACTATTTTAAATTTAAGTTGAAAGCTCAATTGCATCACTATTACCCCAGACTAAAAAGTAAATATCAATCTTGATTTTAACTAAGAAATTTCCAACTTGAAATTCCAATTATTTATTCTCATATGAAGTGATAACAGAAAGATAAATTTAACTTCTTGCCTAAATTTTCTTCCATTTTCTTTCTTAGCATATTCTAAAAAGAAATGACACAGTGATAAGGATCCTACCTAACTTAAATGTTAGACATACCTGTTCCTATTCTTCTCATTTTTGTCTTCAGGAGTCTGCCTTATTAAATCAAGCCAGAGTGATTTTTTTGCTCCACAAAATGAAATGAATAGAAAAATTAAGAAAAAGATGCACCACTGAGGCCACCAAGAGGCTGCACTTGCTTCCTGGAATTAGCAAATAGAGTAAAAGCCACCTGGTTCTAAGAAAGACAAAAGGGAAAACCAAAGACAGACAGAATACACACATACACAGAAACACACACATACACACAAACACACACATGCACACCCTTAAAGTCCCTTAAAGTTGCATGCCCCAGCAGTAACGACTCTCCCCATTTACCCTCAAGTTTTATGTTGTCGCCTTAACATTCTAGACCACAAGTGATATTTACACTCGTTAAACAATAACAAAACAAGTAAACAACAACAAAAACAGAAAAAAATATAAAAGAGTCACTATCCAAAGGCCTGATTAATGCATGATATTCAAATATATACATCTCATTAGTTACATTCTAAATGTGCTGGTAAAGGCTGAAAATATCAGCTTTAATATTCCAGGGTAAAATTTCCTACTCTTAGTAATTTTACAGAGCTGAGAAAGATTACTAATTAATGGTTGATCAAGTCAATAAATGAAATCTACTAACAAATCCCCAAATATATCTGAATTGGTAAAAATTTCACTAGTGTGTAGAGGACTATAAACTCTCTAGTTTATTTCAATACAACACAGTTAATTGTTAATGTAAGTTCAAAGAACTAACTTGTATATAATGCCAAAAGGAGATTTCAGGAAATTGTCAATGGGGATCATTGCTAAGGTAACCATACATCCTGGTTTTCCCCACATAGTTGTGAATGTTTCAATTTGTGATACATCCCAGTCTTCCTTCCCCCCTTTATGGGTCCTAATATTTATTCCTAAATAAAGATATATGATGGTGTGATGCCTTCACTATAAATGAAAGAAGACAGTAATCAAATTGAAACCTTTATATTCACTTCAAATTTTAGAAAGAAACAAAGTATTTTAAGAATTTTCTTAATATTTAACTTTTAATATGCCTTTTGGTCAGTTTTCATCTAACCAAAATTTGACAAATTACCATTCTGAGCAATATTCGAGTCTTCACATACTTTATATAGAGATTTTATTTTTTTAAAACAAAGTTTACCCATAAAGGGTGTTTAGTGTAAGTAAAATAAAAGTTGATAAACAGAATGCCTTATTTTTAAATTATTTTCCTGAGAAAAGAGATTATTATTCAAAGTTGACTATAGTATCTCTTATTTACATATCCAACATAGTTTGTAATAACTTGGAAAAGTCCAATGAAAAGAACTGTTTTTTCTTTTCTTTTTTGCCAGAAATGAGGAGTTAATGAGATTAGCTAAACTATGAAGTAGAATCACCATTGTGATGGTAAATCTTATGTGTCAACTTGACTGGGTTACAGGATATCCAGATAGCTAGTAAACTTTATTTCTGGGTGTGCTGGAAGCATTTGAATCAATAGAATTAGCATTTGAATCAGCAGAATGGGCATTATACAATAAAGTGAGGGCCCAGATAGAAAAAAAACTTAGAGGAAGGAGAAATTTGCTTTTTTCTTAAAAGAACATCTATCTTTTCTTACCCTCAGACATTAGAACTCCTGAGTTCTAATGGGGACTTTGGACTCTAGGACATACACAATGCCTCCCACCCCTACCTGCAGCTCCTAGTGTCAGGACTTCAGGCTCAGACTGAATTACAACACAGGCTTTCCCAGATCTCCAGCTTACAGATGGCATATTGTGGGACTTTTTGGACTCCATATTCACATGAGCCGATTCCCATAATAATACTCCTCTTATGTATCTATATGCAATGTATTGGTTCTCTTTCTCTGAAAAACCCTGACTAATAGAATCATGTTGAAAAGTTTTCCTAATCAGTGTGTTTCCCTGCCATGTTTCCAAGCAAGGGAAGCCAGCTTGTAAATAAATAATAAGCAAAGAGCATCAGTAGAGAATCAGTAAATTGAAATAATACATGTTAAACTAACTGAGGCCCTTGATTGTAGCTCTACCATTGTATTTGTGCCGAAGGATTTCTTCCTCCTTTTTATCTTAAAATATGATTTATAAAATCCTGGGCTTAAAATACCATCATATGTTATATTCTTATCTCTTGCAGTAAATCTATGTGTCTGATTGTATACAGGCTCTCTTACATCAAGGTGTTATAAAACATAAAGGTGTTATAATACTTTAGTTTTAACACCTGATCTCTCCACCAGATGGCAATGTAATGCAAATAATAAGCCAGGCAAAAAGACAGGACTAATTTTATTCCATGAATTACTATTGTGTTTCTAGCTTTCTTTTCCTCACAAATAATTTTTTCAGTGTCTATAACAGTTGCCTACCCTGATGCTAAAATACCAATTGAAATATTTCTTCAGAATGAAGATGTTGCACATGAAATTATTAATCCAGGAAACTAAATGTTAATCCATTTCAAATTAACATTTTCAAAAGGCCTTCCTGACGGTGTTACCCACTTCTTTATAGGCAAATAATTTTAAAAATAGTTTTGGTCCATTGTGAAATGCTTCCTGCATGATTGCTCAGAAAAACAATGAAAGCTTAATACCTCTGGGAAAATGGGAAAAGATTTAGGCTCTGCTATTGTGATAGGCATAATTTGACAGAGTAATTCTCAGATTTGTTTTGTTCTGCTTGGTTTTTAAGTAGAGATCCAGAATATCATATATTGTAAATCTCAATTCAGTGAATACGTAGCATATATATAAAACAGAAACTAAAGTTTCACGAAACAATACTGAGCATTACCATGTGTGTTGCACTATGATCAGTTCTTCTCTACTCTCTAAGACTCCTATTACATATATCTATTCCTATCCACATATTCTCTGTGTCCTTTTTGCTCTTTACTATAAGTTTCAAGCTCTTGTTTTTCTGACATTTTTAAATTTTGCTAATGCTCTCCAAAGTCGTTTCTAATCTACTTTAGAAACCATTCATGTGTTCTGTCTCACTTATTGTTCTGAGTTCTAGGAATTTTGGTTTTCTTTTCTTATTATTTTACAGACCTCTGCTTAATTTCTCAATTTCATGTATTATATTACTTTCTTTAATACATACATAACATTTATTTTAAATATACTACTTAATTTCATTATCAGGATCTGCTATGAGTCTCTTTCTGCTGTCTGTTCTTCTCCTAGTTATTATTCATGCCTTTCCTTGCTGTATTTTCCTAGCTGATTAATGTTGCATGCTGGGCATTAAATATAAAAATTTTCAGAGATATTTTGAGGCCTGGAATTATATTGTCTTCCACTATAAAGGGTTTATATTTGGTTTTGGCATGAAAATAGGTCACTATAAATCCTAGATCCATCACCTTAGATCTGTGATACATCAAGATGTTTTAAAACTGAGCTTCAATTTCTGCAAAGGCATATCCATTTCAACTTCACCCTTTCTTCTGGTGTGCAGTCCATCAGAGTGCATAACAAATATCTGGGATATTTAATAGTGCCTATGAAAAAAAATTAAATTCCTAAAATAAAGTAACGCCGAAACCAAGCTTACCTTTCTGGGATTCTTTCTTCTCCTAAATCTTTGTTCTATGAGCTGAATACTCGCTCTTATACACTTCTGCTTTTCTTACTCCAGTCATTCTAGATATTTTCAGTGAACTTTCAGCAAAAATTCCCTAGTTTGCTTCTCACTTGAGCTTGAAACATGTCAATGCTGTGGAAAGACCAAATCAGAAATCAGAAAATATATTGCATAAATTTTCTAATGTCTTTAGATGTGTCCAAGCATCATTGAAATTTATTTGCTTATATTAGTAATTTTTAAAACTTTTCTTTAAACTCATTCTAAATATAAAATATAAACACACTGCAGATCTTATTCAGGTTGTTTTTCTTTACAAACCACATAAAAGAGAGGGTTCCAGCATGTTTACCGGCTCATTTGTAATTTTTCCAAATAAAGACATACTGGCAAGAATTTTACATCAGAAACCACTGATTGATTGATTAAATCTGACATTAAAAATCAGGCCAAAAATAATAAAATGAATAAACTTCACAAAAAAAAATAATCAGAGAGCTGTTTTATGACAGTTCTGTGGATTAGGAGTACCCCCTAGTGGTAAGAAATATTAATGCCGCCCTACTTTTTTTTTACTTTCAGAATATTACCCGGGTACAAACACTTTGGTTACATAAATTGCCTTTGCACTACCCGAGTCAGAGCTATAAGCATGCCCATTCCCCAGACAGCGCGAAACGCATCCATTAGGTGTGAATATACCCATTCCCTCCTCTCGCTCCCACCTGCCCGATACCTAATGAATGTCACTTCCATATGTGCACATAAGCGTAGATTGATTAGTACCAGTTTAATAGTGAGTGCATGTGGTGCTTGTTTTTCCATTCTTGTGATACTTAGTAGAATTGGCTCCAGCTCCATCCAGGATAATACAAGAGGTAGTTCACCATTTTTTTTTTTTATGGCTGAGTACTAATTGTTATTTTTTGTTTGTTTGAGTTTTTAAAATGACAGATTTATTGAGATATAATTCACACACAGCATACAATTAACCCACTTGAAGCATATAACTCAGTGGTATTTGGTATTTTCACAGAGTTATGTAACCATCACCACAATTTTAGAACATATTTATTACACTCAAAGAAACCCAAGACCCTTTAGTGGTCATTTCCTATTTCTCAATTGCCCTCTCTCAATCTCTGGCAATCTACTTTCTGTTTGTATACATTTCTCTATTCAAGGTGTTTCCTACACATGGAATCATATAATATGATGTTCTTTTGTTCCAGGCTTTTATTATTATTGTTATTATTTCAGACTATTACAGAGATACAAAAGTTTTGGTTACATAAATTGATTTGGACAGCTAAAGTCAAAGTTATAAGCATGCCCATTCCTCAGATGGTGTGCATTGTACCCATTAGGTATTAATTAACCCATCCCCTCCCCCCCCACCTGCTTGATTTCCCTTGAATTTTACTACCATATGTGCACATGAATGTTGGTCAACTAGTAGTGAGTATATGTGGTGTTTGCTTTTGCATTTTTGCAATACTTGACTTAAAGGGATGGTCTCCAGTTTGATCCAGGTTGTTACGAAATGTCACCATTTTTTATGGCTGAATAATACTCCATGGTATACATATACTACATTTTATTAATCCATTCATGTATTGATGGGCACTTGGATTGTTTCCATATCTTTGCAATTGTGATGCTATATACATTAGAGTGCAGGTGTATTTTTTGTAGAATATCATTTTTTCCTTTGGGTAAATACCTAGTAGTGGGATTGCTGGATCAAATGATAGGTTTACTTTCAGTTCTTTGAAATATCACCATACTACTTTCCATAAAGGTTGTACTAGTTCGCAAACCCACCAGCAGTGTATGCAGTGTATGAGTGTTCCTATCTCTCAGTATCCATACCAACATTTGTAATTTGGGGACTTTTTGATAAAAGCCATTCTCACTGATGTTCAGTGATATCTCATTGTGGTTTTGATTCGAATTTCCCTGATGATTAGAGATATTAAGCATATTTTCATATGTTTGTTGGCCATTAGTTTATCTTCTTTTGATAAGTTTCTATTCATGTCTTTTCCCTATTTTTTAATGGGATTATTTGCTTTTTTTCTTGCTGGTTTCCTTGAATTCTTTAGAGATTCTAGTTATTAGCCCTTTACTGAATGTACATTTAATGTAGATACTTCATATATACCTGTTCCTTGTTAAATTTAGTTACCTTGAGTACATTCTAAATGTTTTTGTAATACTATAGTCTCGATGTTTCAAAGTAAGGGGAGAGTAGTCTCAGCATAGGAGAGAACATTTACTTAAAAAGAAAACAGCAAAATATATAAGACTATTTGAAAACTATATATATTTTTAACCCTTTGTACTCAGATGTCGAGTGTGGATAATGTCGAGTGGATGATGAGGAAAAAAAGCAAGCGAGTGCAAAGGGTTAATTTATACATCTGGTTGACATGTTAATTTATGAGATAAAAATGAAATGAAAAAGAAAGTAAGAATTTAATAAAGATGTACTGAAAATGTAAGTACTTATGATTTATTAGGTGATATTTTGAACATTGTAATATATTAATATGGATAATTATCCATGTTCACAAATGTGTCTATAATTTGAATTGCTAACTGATCCTCTAAGTAAATATGCACAGCCTTTTACTTTAGATACATAGAGAGTGTAGTAGGTGGAATAATGGCTCTCAAGTACATCCTTATCCTAGTCCCAGGAACCTATGAATACTAATTTATGTGGCCAAAGGGACTTTGCAGGTACGAATAAATTAAGGATTATGAGAGGAGGAGATTATCCTGGATTATCTGAGTGGACCTGATGTAATCACACTGTCTTCTCAAAAGGGATGCAGGAGGAGTAAAAGTCAGAGGAGATGACAACCTAATGAGGGGAGCAGAAATTGAAGTAACGGGCTTTGCGGATGGAGGAAAGGGCTGCACTATTACAAACTGAAGAATATAGGTGGCCGCTGGGCACTGAAAAAGACTTCTGGCTCAGAGACTCCCAAAGGAGTCAGCCTGTAGATACCTTGCTTCGTCCTTTGAAAACTGATTTCAGACTTCTGGCCTTCGGAACAATGGAGAATAAATTTGTTTGGATCAAGCCAGTAAACTCATGGTAATTTACTACAGCAGCAATAGAAAATGTACACACATACTTTGCTGCAAATCATGAGTTCATTCTTTGTAAAGCAATGATAGTTTTCATTAGAGCTGTAATAGCTTTGTTATTTCACCAAGGATTGTAGTGCTTAATAGATACACTGTTTAGTCATTGGAGTTTCATTTTTTTAAAAAAAGTTTTAACTAAACATTTTACTTACAAGTTTTTCATTTTGAAATTCTAGTTCTACATTAGTGCAACTTATTGGAAGAAATGTTGACAGAATTTTCCACTTAGCTATGTTTCAGTGTTAGTCAGTCAGTCAGAGGTCTTCATTAACATGTGCATCAATAGGTCATTAAACCTGAAATGTCTGATTCAAATCAAAAGTTTAGTTTATTATATCTCAAACAAGAATCAGTACAATTAATCAAAGTGTGCTCCTAAACTATCAACACAGCTTTGACATCTTAATGGCAGCTTGTTTATGCCAGCAGCACAAAGCCTGGAGAGCCAGTGGCAATGAAATGATGAAAGGCATTTTCCACAGCTTGTTGAGAATTGAATATTTTTCCTTACAGGAAGTGGTCCAAATCCTGGGAGAAGTGTTAGTCATTTGATGCAAGGTCTGATGAATATGGTGGTTGACACAGAGTTTCCAAGTCCAGCTTCTGTAGTTTGAGCAGCATTGTTTATACAACATGTGGTCAAGCATTGTCTTGCAAGAGGATTTGCCTGTCTCTATTGACCAATCTCGCTGCTGAATCACAAACATCCTCATCATTTCATCTAGTTGGTTGCGGTAGATATCCACTATAATTGCTTGACCAGGTTTCATGAAACTGTAGTGGATAATACCAGCACTGGACTACCAAACAGACACTATTAGCTTTTTTTTTTTTTTTGATGAATATTCCATTTTGGAACGTGTTTCAGCACATAATCTTTATCCAACCATTGTGCCCCATGCTTGAGATTGTCAAAAAGAATCCATTTTTATCACACATGACAATATAGTATAGAAATGTTTCACCTTTTTGTCGTGACAGCAAAGAAAGGCAAGCTTTGAGGGGATTGTTTTTCCAATGCTCAATTAACTCACACAGAACCCATTTATCCAGCTACTTTACCTGGCAGATTTGTTTCAAATGGTCCAATATTATTGAAACAGTAATGTCAAACCTTGCTGCTAATTCATGAGTAGGTTAGGGATGGATATGCTTCCACTCCAGCTTGGTTAAGGTCACCCATGTGACTCATTTTCAAGATTAAAATCCCCAGAATGGAACTTTTCAAATCATCAATGTACTGTGCATTCTCATCTTTCCCAAACACTTTGTTGATATTTCAACCTGTGGCACACTGTATTGGTTCCATGATGGAACTCATATTCAAAAATAACACCTCTTCTAGAATTCGTATAATTTCATGTCTTAGGTTTAAGTCTGTTATCTATCAGAATTAATTTTTGTGGGTGGTGAGAAGTGTGGATCCTATTTCAGTTTTCTACATGTAGTTATGCAATTTTCCCAGCACCATTTATTGAATATGGATTCTTTTCCCACGTATATGTTTGTTTTGTTTTGTCTGCTGTGTCAAAGATCACATGGAAATATGAGGATGGTTTCATATCTGAATTTTCTGTTATGATCCATTGGTCTATACTTCTGTTCTTGTGCCAATATCATGCTTTTTTGGTTACTATAGCCTTGTAGTATATCTTGAAGTCGGGTAAAGAGATGCCTTCTAATTTGTTCTTTTTGCTTAAGGTTGCTTTGGATATTCAGGGTCTTTTCTGATTCCATACAAACAGTAGAATTTTTTTTTCTAGATTTGCAGAAAAATGATGTTGGTATTTTAATGAGGGTTGCACTGAACCTGTAAGTCACTTTAGGTAGTATAAACATTTTAACAATGTTGATTCTGCTGATCGATGAGCATGTTATGTTTTTCTATTTGTTTACATTCTCTGCAATTTTCTTCCTCAGTGTTTCATAGTTCTCCCTGTAGAGGTCTTTCAGGCAATCATAGCAACAACAAAAATAAATCAATGGGACTTGATTAAATTAAAAAGCTTCTGCACAGACAAGGAAACAATCAATACAGTACATAGACAACATACAGAAAGGGAGAAAATATTTGTATGCTATACATCCCATAAAGGGCATTAACCAGAATCTACAAAGAACTCAAGCAAATCTGTAAGAAAACAACAACAAAAAAAGTATTAAAAGATGAGCAAAAGACATGAATAGAGGATTTTCAAAAGAAGATAGAGTAATGGCCAATAAACATATGTAAAAATGCTTCATGATCTGTAATCATCAGGGAAATGCAAATCAAAACCACAATGAGATGTCACCTAACTCCAGTGAGAATGAGAATGGCTTTTATCAAAAAGTCCCAAAACAACAGATTCTGTGATGGATGCAAATAGAAAGGAACACTTATACACTGTTGGTGGGACTGCAAAGTAGTACAACCTCTATGGAAAGTAGTATGGAGATACTTCAAAGAACTAAAAGTAGATCTACTGTTTGATCTAACAATCCCACTACTGGGTATTTACCCAAAGGAAAAAAAAAATTATAAAAATGACACTTGCACTCAAATGTTTATAGTAGCACAATTCACAATTGCAAAGATGTGGAAACAACCTAAGTGCATGGTTGGCTTCATAAAATCTGGTATATGTATACTGTGGAGTAATTACTCAGCCATAAAAAAGAATGGTGAACTAATACCTTTTGTAACAACCTGGATGAAACTGGAGACCATCCCTTTAAGTAAAGTATTGCAAAAATGGAGAAACAAACACAACATGTACTCACTACTAAGTTGGAACTAATTGATCAACACTCATGTGCACATATAGTAGTAAAATTCAAGGGAGGAAATTAAGCAGGTGGGAGAGGGAGGAGGGTATGGGTTAATTCACACCTAATGGGTACAATGCACACTGATGGGCACACATAGGTTTCACTTAAACTGTACAAAAGCAATTCATGTAATCAAAACGTTTGTACTCCCATAATATTATAAAATAAGAGAAAAATATTTTTTAAAAAATGAAACATCACAAATTTTTTTACTTATCCATGATTTCACAAAAATTGCTCTAAAAAATGTAAAAGATAACCACAAGCCAAAACATGCATTTGAAAGACTGAGGATGTACCTTCCCAATAAAAATAAAACTAGAAGTGTCAAAGTGAAATGTCAGAGATATTTACTATCAAACTTAGTACCTAAGGAAATCAGACATTTCATAGATGGTAACCTACTTTCACAGCATGTTTCCACTGGAAATAACTCATTGGCCCTGGCCCTACCTTGCATATCACGAATACCAACTGTTATCCTTCCTTTGTTGTATTCTAGTGTCTGTCTTGTTAAATGGGGGGTCTACATCAATACAGAATTAATCGGTAGAGGTTTTAGGAAATACTACACTGTAAAGAGCACCTGGACACTGCAAAGGATTACCAGAATTAAAAAGTAGGGTAAATTGGGAGGTCCTGGGACATGGTTTTAAAAGACACAAGAAGACTATAAGAACACACCTTTACCACCACCACCTTTGGAACCTATAATGAATCCCTTGCAAAAATTTTCTCTTTTTATACCACTTTGCAGACTACCTGTTTTTAAAAAGATAATTTTGATAACAGGTTGTTATAAATAGAAAATTGTCCAGGTGAGCCACTAGGGACTGTTGCCACTTTAAGTGGCTCCCCCTCCTTTGAAGAATTTCTTAAAGTAGCATTATTGAGCCTTCACAGAATAGGAAGGGATATAAAAACAACTTTTTCACTCATAGGAGAATTAAGACATTTTTCTCATGTCTACTGTTTGAACTCATGGAGAGAAAACGCCTGTTTCTAGATGTTTGCCACTTCATCCTTCCTTCATCCATCCATTCAGTCATTCTTTCACTTTTTAAATAAATATTTAATATGGGCTTATTATGTATTACCAAACTCTACTTCTCTGCACATGTGCCAGGTTTTCTAAATATAATTTCCAGGGTTTCTTCCTCCACTAAACATCAGAAAATCATGCATAAAATATATGTACCTTATAGACTATTACGTAAGGAGGTAGGCAACTTCAAGATAGTTTTATATTTTATTTGGTATTATTAATCCTGTATTAAATAGAACGTTTATTTTTATTTCAAATTTGATATAAAAATACAAATAAATATCCAAACAGTTCTTTTAAAATTTAAGTATGACTTATGGTCTGTACTCATTCAACTCAACTTTTATCATGTATAATATTATGCAAAAAAATGGTGGTTCACAATGTGATGGGATGACTCGGCGATCTTCTTTTCATATAAGCCGAGAAATTTCACTATGGGAAGACTATTTGGTATTGGCACCATTCTTCTACTGAGGATTCAATAGGAATTTTCAGCTAATATAAGGGCTTCTTGTAATCAAGGAGATAAATATTTCTTTAGCATAAAAGCCAGGGTTATTTAATAGGAAAAATATTCTTACTAAATTCTGTCTAGACAGTATAGTCTTTGTAAGGAAATTAATATTCATGACAAACATGTATGTTTGTCATCAAATAAGTAGAAATTTAGCTACGTTCACTGCTGGTAGGTAGGTTCTGAACCATTTTCCAGCCTACCTTCCATGCAATTAGTGCTCACCTCTCTAAGTAGATGGGTAGAGAAAAATGAAAAAAAAAATTAAAATATGTGCAAGAAACAAGAAGGGACATAAGACTGGTTTTCCATTATCATGTGAAGAGGGATAATAGGCTTAAAAGGATGCTGGTGGGATTAAAGAAGAATGTGTGTGAAGAATGCTTGGGATGAGTTTTAGAAGAAAGAGAAAATTAAGGGAATGCTCCTATAGGTGGAACCCTTCTGAAAGCTTATTAGTAACACACCTCGTTTCCCCCCACCTTCCCCTCCCATGCATGGTTATGTAGCCCAAGAGGATATAAATAAGATGACAATTTCTACTCTGTACCTTTTTGGGTGATAATTTTGTGTTTATTTTTGATTTTTGTTTGTTTGTTTGTTTTTTTTTTTTTGGTTTTAAATAATAAAACTTTATTTTCTTACAGTTAGGAAGGCTAGAAGTTCAAAATCAAGAAGTTGCCAGGCTCTGAAGGCTCTGGAAAAATATCCTTAATCTTTTTCTAGCTTCTGGTGAATGCTGGAAACTTAATATTCCTTACCTTACAGCTACATCACTCCAATTTCTACCTTTTTCTTCACAAGACCATCTTTCCTCTATGTGTCTCTATGTCTAATTTTCTCTCTTGTAATAAGGACACCAGTCATTATTACACCCTAATTCATTATGACCTCATCTTAACTTGTCACTTCTACAAAGACCTCATTTCCACATATGATACATTCACAGGTACTGGAGGTTAGGACTTGAACATATCTTTTGAAAAGACACAGTTCAATCTTTGCTGATTTTAGTGTTCACATTAACCCTTCATTAAAGAACTTCTGTGTATCAATCAGAGGTTAGTGTGTGGTTGGAATGAGATACTGAGGACAGAGTTAATTCTCAGCATCATCAGCTAGTGGACCACTGGAGCCAGCCTCTTCCCTAGTGAAGCTCATGGGAGATCAGACACTCCAACGGAGGAGGGAAGAATCCTTTGCCTGGGAAACTTTAAGCCCCATTCCCTGGTGTTCTTTTCTTTGTCTCTGCTTGAGGGCAGCAGGGAAAACTTCTGTGTCCAATTAAAAATACCAACTCAATAATATATGAATGACAAATATTTCTTATTTTAAAAAAGGGCTAGATCAAAAGTGGGTTAAATATAAGTAAACTATGTGATTAGTTAACAAAAATAACAATTAGTCAAGCTTTAATTCTAATAAGCTCTCCACCAGAATGCTTAAGTTTGTCTGAAAGAGCATTTCATTCTTTGCCAAAACATGAAAGAGTTCACAGCAATTCACTGACCTTCTCATAAAGTGAGTTTTTCAGAAAAATTATAATACAAAAGCTTTAAGCCCAAATATAGTTATCACCCTGTTTGTAAGCTACCCTACTCTATTTTTCTGTCTCCCTGCTGAATCTAGCCAAGATTCTAAGGATCCAGTTTTATGAAAAAAGTTAAAAGTTGAACACAAAATAGCATATTATTATTAATAAACATATGTGGCCTAAAATGGAGATGTTGCCAACAAATATGCAAATACACAACCACTCTTTAATTAATTTCAGGATAACCCACTGAAAGGGATATAGATATTATACCTATGTCTTCTCTCCTTTCAGTGTTTATTGGCTTGCTATAAGGCTTTCTGACCACTTCTAACCATTAGGTGGCAATATAATGCAAAAATTAAAAATAGCTTTGAAAAGCTCTCTAGATTTGCTCTTTCTTGTAAATAACAGTCTGATAAATATTTCTGTGCTTCTCTGAAATTTGTCTTTAATTCAAGATTTAGATCCTATAATTCATGCAACTATCTTTATATCATTTTTATACTTCTGATCACATGCTTAAAATTATAAAATGTATAAGAAAAACCATCTGCTTTGTACACATGAAGATATTTCTTGATATACAATCACAACAGGAAGTTATACTAATGATAACTTTAAAATGTAACATAAAGTGATATAACAAAGATTACTAGAATGTGTAAAGATAACATAAGTTATTTTTTTCTGGTAAGATTAGGAAATGAAGTTATGCTTTTTAGTTTTTAAGGGATAATTATATAATATTATTTTTCAAGATAATTAAAAAGCTATATCTGCTCCTGTTAACTCATTTTTGAATATTCTAAAGGGGTACATTTGAATTGGGCCCCAGAATTTACAATGTCCCAGGGTAACAGCCAACTGAGGAGCAAAGATGAATTCCACAGTCAGGGAGCTCAAAGCTTTTAAATATACTGACAGTGAGCCCTTTAACCTATAATGTAGATGTGTTTAGATAACCTGCCACAGTTCTACTAACATTCTTCAAACTACCTTTAATTATTATCCCTTTAAAATTGTATAGTCATTTTAACCCAGTTTCACTACCATAAAAGTATAAGAAAACATAGAGACACATTCTGGGTAAATGATAAAATAATGTCACAGATTATTTTTAAATTGTTGTTAAAAATGTGTAACACAAAATTTACCATATTAACTATTTTAAAGTGTACAGTTCAGTGGTGTTAAGCATATTCACATTGTTGTTTGTGCAGTTTCTAAAACTTTTTCAACTCACAAAACTGAAATTCCATACCCATTAAACAACAAATTCCCATCCTTCTCTCCCTCCAGCCTCTGGAAACCAACATTCTACTTTCTGTTTCTGTGAATTTGACTCCTGTCTATACCACATATAACTGGAGTCATAAAGTATTTGTCTTTTTGTGACTGCCATATTCAAATAGTATAATGTCTCAAGGGTCATCTATGTTGTAGCATGTAACAGAGTGTCCTTTTTTAAGGGCCAATAAATTCCACTGTATGTGTATACTATATTTTGTTTATCCATTCATCTATTCATGGCTGCTGGGTTGCTTCTACCTCTTGACTTTTGTAAATAGTACTACTATGATTATTGGTATGCAAATATCTCTGTAAAATCCTTATTTCAATTCTTTTGGATATATATATACCCAAATGTGAAATTGCTATATCATATGGTAATTCAAATTCCTTTCTTTTTTTAAGGGGCTTCCATACCATTTTGATAGTGGCTGAACCATTTTACATTCCCCCCAACCATGTATAAAAATTCCAATTTTCCCACCTCTTTGTCAAAATTAATTGTGGTTTTGTGTTTTTTTTTAATGTAGTCATCCTAATCAATATAAGAGGATTAAAAAAAAAGTACATGGGGTTTCTAAACTTAAAATAGTAACCCCAGTAAGTAGGCATTTCATATCCATTCCAAGGATCTGACTATTCAAATTATTGTTGTCCTCCAAATTTTCTATTTCAACTTATTTTATATTTCTTCATTGACCTACTTCCCAAGTAAAATTCTTTTGTTAGTTAATTTGTCTCCTCTTTTATGATTATCATTTCTGTTCCCAGATCTAAAGAGAAACTCCTTGGGAGCAGTGATCTTGGATAGCTTATTCTCCTTGTATTCCTAGTACCTACAACAGTACTTGCCATACACCAAGAGTGTAGGAAATAATTAAGTTCATATTTGGGCAGGTGATAATTTCTTAAATTGTGTACGTAGACATTGTCAAAATATATTCCATTAAGTGGAGTTCTCTGGTTCCTTAAGTTTAAGAAATTTTATATCTTACATTTTACTCATGGATGTTATTCAATGTATATTAGTGTATTAAGGGCTGTATACTATCCTAAAATAAAGTGAATTTTAACTTTGCTTATCAGAGCATTTTCCAAACTTTGTGCAAAATATTTTCTCTTAGCAGTGAGTCCCAAGGCTTGCCCAAAATGAGCAGTCTAACAAATAAATCCTAAAGAAGTTAGGGCAGACTCAGCAAAGCACACAAGAGTTATAAAACTACAGGACTGTTTTATGAAAGTGGCTTCTCAGAGTGCCCTGTTTCTAACAAAAAGCACAATGGGGTAGCTGGCAATGACATGCTGCCTGCCCTGGAAGAGGTTCCTCGAATCATTGGAAACTTGGGGCTGAGGGCTGGAATTCAAGCTTCTTGCATCCCTAATCATGTCGCCATGAAACATCAGCATAAATAACCTTACAGCACTGCAAAAACTGCCTTTGCAAGCTGTATCTCCTGCATCTTACATCTGGGTTTGAGGTATAAGGGCTTCCTATCCCCAGCCATAGAAAATTACTTATAATTATGACCAGGCATTAAAATTGTGAAGTTACATCAGACTTACAATGTGATGAACAGTTCCAGGACATTACATTGTTTGTAAGCAGTACCTTGAAGAAAGTGATCACAATAGGCCTTCTGGGGCCTCATTCATCAGGGAAAAAAAATTTTTTTAAACAACCACTTATTATCACAAACAAGTACTGTTACATGTAAAAACTTTGGAAATGGTGGATGAAGCAATGCAATAAATGTGTATACATTAATAATGATTTTTACTCAATTATTCTATTTAAACACTGGGTGAAAGTACATCAACAATGTTTTGCTTTTCAAATATGTGTTTTGCTATCATATAAATATAGTCAATGCCAGGTAACTTGGTATTTTTTCAGGCCACTCCAACCTAGAGGTAAAAATTAGATCACTTTTATTATTTAGGAAAAAAACCTACAAAACATACCAAACCTCTTATTTCATTTAATTTACCTTTTAATACTATAAGATTGAAATCTTTCATCATTTTTTGTCACTGAGCTATAGAAAAGAGAAAAGCCTATTTCCTCCACTCTTGAATTGGCATAAATTTTCTTACTCCCTTGTAAAATCACAGAGGTTACTTTCCTTCATATTTATGGCAACTTTTCTGACCTATGGGCTAGAACATTCAGCTAAATATATGATTCTACCCCTTTCTTGGTTAATGAGTATGACCTTGTTACAGAGGCCAAATGCTGCTAGGAGCTGTTTGGCCTAGTTTTAAGTCACAAATAATGGAGGTAATAGGTTTTGCATCATTATGAGTTACTCCTCTGGATTGACACAGCATGCTGATTGCTTTAATAAGAGCTATTAATATAATGAGAATGATTCTCAGAAATCACCTATTGCTAAAAAGCACAGAGATGACCTAGGTTGTAATATAGCCCCCTAGAAAAAGATGAAGAGATTTTCTTTCAAAGAAGTAGACAAGGATGTTCTAGGCACTTTTTACCTTTGCATTTTCCTAAAGGACCTAAGTAGAACTGAGTACTTATTTCAAAGACTGCTTGGGTTTGCTAGGAAGAGAGAGAAATAAGATTTTCAATAGCCTCTTTGCATCAAATCATAGATTTTCTTCTTATTATTTTTTTTGAAGTTATCATGCTCCTTTGTAGTTCATATAAATAAATGTCCAAAAGACATGTTGTTTCTTTGTCCATAAATACATAGAGATTTTGACTTTGGTCTCAGCATGTTTACTTATTATATTATTTTTAAACTGGGATGAAAACATTGAACTAAAAGTGAAAATGTCACCAATGGCTGTCAGAAAACAAAATTAGTTTGAACTGACTAGCAATTCGCCAGCCTAAGGCTTTTCTGAAAGTTTCTATTCAAAATACCCTCATTCCAAATTTTCACCTCCATAACTCTAACCATCTGACACAGAAACATGTACACACTGTTATATGTATGAAGTGGATTTTTTAAATTGTTATTGGAATGAGAGAGAATGTTTATGACAATATCATAGGGTGAA